CAACAACCTATGTTACACAGTGCTTAAAATTTGGAAAATCTTATACAACTAAACCAGTAAGACATGTGTTAGGGAATTTCATATTTGTCCTTCTATCTTGGATAAAAATGTTATTTTCTGATCATTTCAAGATTAACCAGGAGCACTGAGTAGGACTCTTTAGAATGGGTAGAAATCAGGGTTATTTTTCTGTCCAGCTGTGTATCATCATTTCTCCTTTAAATATTTTATGACTTACAATTACTTGCACAAGAAAAGAATATTGTTAGACATTTCTTTAAAAATTATGAGTGATAATACATTTATGTAAGTCAACTCTGAGGTGGTTTCCTACAACTACTGCAATAAGTAGTCACAAATTTAGTGCTATCTTTTGAGATAGATTTGGCCACAAGAACGGACAGAACTCTGCTCTCCTGCCACCTTAGAACACAGATGTGATACCTAATATGTAGAGAAAAATAACAGCATGTAACTTTACATCAAGTTACAGGATAGCAGTCTTGGCGCAGAACTGTAACCAAAGAATATACAGATCTCTAACATTGACTGGAAAGGAGTGTTTTTTTTTCCAGAGTCTTAATTTGACTCATGTATAACATAAGTTTCCTACCTCAACTAATACTGTGCAAGTATTCTTTGTGATTTCATGGTCCTACACTCTGATGATTTGTAATTTGGAATTGAAGAAATAAGAAAATAAATAAAAATTAGTTTTCAATTTACTTACATATTTTCATCCTTACTATTTTTCCAGAGAAATAAATTTGGCTTCAAATATTTGCTTTAATTTTCATTGTTTGTTTGCTACATTCAAAAATTTAGAGACAATTACATAAATAATGTTATACATAGTACTTGTGTTCATATTACATGTACATGTAGCTATCCATCTGTCATTAGAGACAGAGATATATGAATATATAGAGAAAATTTATTTGACAAACCCAAATCCAACAGAAGGGAAAAACTAATGAAAATAAAAAACAACATTATAAAGACATTATTTTATCAACCTTGCATATCTATATCTGCTAGTCTGAGCAACAAATTCCATGATAATTATATATAATATTACAACTATTATTAATAATCCATTCTTGCTCTGGAATTTTGTACCATTTGTACTATCTTATATTGCTTTGTTTCTGTCTTTGTTCTTGTTGTTGTTCCAGTTCTTTTTCCTCTTAAAAATAAAAAATAATAAAATAAAAGATAAATAAGACTGAAAATCATTTAGTCAAACTAATAAAACAGACCTAAATTAAAATTAGAGATGAAAGATGTGGTATTAAAAGAGATACTACTGAAATCCAGAGGATTATTAGAAACTATTATAAAAATTTATTTTTCTATAATTGGAAAATCAGGAGGAAATGAACACATTTCTAGACACATATAACCTGCCAAAATTCAACAAAGAGATATAAAAATATTAACAAATTAATAAAAAACAATGAAATAGAACCACTAATTGAAAAATCCCACAAAGAAAGCCCAATGACTGAATGGATCACTGCTGAATTTTGCCAGGCATTTAAAGAACTAGCACTACTACTTTTTAAACTACTGTAGGAAATAGAAATGGAATTAATAAATGGTTCCAAATTCATTCCACCAAGCTAGTATCATGCTGAAAGTAAAATCAGATAAAGATGCAAAAAATCCCACTATAGATTAACATCTTTATGTACATAGATAGAAAAATGATTAATAAGATCCTTGCAAATAGAATCTAACATATTCAAAAGATCAGCCACAATGGTCCGTGTTTCATCCCAGGGATGTAAGGATGATTCATATGCAAACCAATGAATTAATATGTTACATGATTATATTTAAGGATTTAAAATCACTTAATCATCTCAAACAGGTACACAAAATACACTGATAAAATTCAAATCCCTTCATGATAAAATCCCTGAGAAAAATAATATAGAAAGATCATACCTGAATACAAATAAGGCAATATATGATAAATCCACAATCAACATCTTGCTGAATGGAAGAAAACTGAAAGTATATTTTCTAAAATCAGAGGTGAGACAGGGCATTTTACTTTTATCATTTCTGTTCTTTATAGTACTTAAAGTTCTAGCCAGTGTATAAGCAAGAGAAAGAAATAAAAAGGGCACAAAAGGGGGAAAAAGTTATTTTCCCTATTTGTTGGAAATACTATTCTTAGAAAACTATAAAAATGATATCAGAAAATTTTTAGATATAATAAATTCAACAAAATGGAAGCATATAAAATAACTACACAAAAATCAATAGTTTTTCAGTACACCATTAAAGCAATCCATGAGGGAGGAAAAAAATCAGAAAAATAATTTCATTCACAAAACTTCTAAAATAATAAGTAAGAATAAGTCTAATCTAAAATGGGAAAGAACTCTAAATTAAACATAGGGAAGGAATAAAAATGAAGGAGACGTGAGAAGACAGAAACTCTCAGGTTCATGGATAGAATTATATTGTTAAAATAGACTATCATGGAGAGGGTTCTACAGATTCAATGAAATTTCCTTCAAAATTTAAATGATATTTGCACTTTCCTGAAAGTTGCAATGCTAAAACTTATATGGAATCCCAAAAGACCTTGAACAGCTAAAGCAATCTTGAGCAAAAAGAGTAGTGTTGGAAGCATCACAACATACATTTTCATATCACTCTACAAAGCTATAGTTGACAGCACAGTACTGGCACAATAATCAACATGTAAATCAATTTTAAAAAGCATACAGGGTGTGGAAATAAAGCCACACACCCACAGCCAACAGGCCCTTCACCAAAAGATCACAGACATGCCTTGAAAACAGTTTCTTTAACAACCTAAGAAAAATGGATAATCTGTATAATATTGAACCTAGATTCCTATGTACCAGCCTATATAAAAATAAGTTCGAATTGGATCAAATGCCTAGAAGGGCCAAAAACTTTTAAACAGGTAGAAGAAAACACAGGGCAAGCAAATAAGTCACAGGCACAGACAACACAGGGCAAGTTCCTGACCAAGACTCTAAGAGCAAGTTCCTGACCAAGACTCTAAGAGCACAGAAAACATTGAATCTTATAGATGGGACTTCAAGTCAAAAACCTTCGCACAACAAAGTCATAGTTAACAAAGTGCAAAGAAAGCCTACCGAATGAGAGAAAATGTTTCCTAGCTACTCCTTGAACGGAAGATTAATGTTGAGAGTACATAAAGAAATCAAAATACTTAGCACAAAATGTCTAATTTAACAAACAAACAAAAACAATTGGATAATTCTGAAACAGTACAAATGGCCAATAAGTACATAAAAAGTGTTCATCCTTACCATGAGGAAAATGAAGTTTGGGATTACATCAGAATTGCCTTTACCCATCAGAATGGCTCTCATCAAAAGGAGAGTTAAACATTGAAGAAGCAGGAAAAAGAATTTTTTCACACTGTTAGTGAGAACACAACTTAGTAGAGCCTTTAAGCAAGTCAGGATGGAGATGCCCCAGACAAATTAAGAATACAACTACTGTTTGATCCAGTGTTGCCATTCCTTGCTATATTCTCAAAGACCTAAAGACAATGTACTATAGAATTATTTGCATAATATGTTTATTGCATCATAGATTGACAAATACTATTATGAAAATGGTCCAAATGCCCATTAGCAGACAAATAAATAAAGAAAATGTATGCATACACTACAGAATATTCAGTTATGCAAAAGAGTAAAACTATATCATTTTCAGAGAAATGTGTGGAACTAAAGACCAAATGTAAAGCAAAATAAGCTGAACTCAGAAGTTAAATATAATACTTTTTTCATAAGAAAAATCTAGGGAAATGTTAATTTAAAAAATAGCGATGGCAGATTAAAGTATCTGCTTAGGCAGACTCAGGAACTCAGGTTTGATCCCCAGCCTGCTGTGCGGGCCCCACCCCTGGGGTGCACTGAGACTGAGATTGACAATGGAAGTGGTGGCAAGCGCCCGTAATGCCAATGTTTGGGAGGCTGAAAAACAGGAAGAATCACTACGAGTCTGTTCTGTGTAGTGAGACCCTGTAGACCCTGTACTAAAAACATTGAAAAACAAATAGCGATGATTGGACAACAATTGAAAAACTATTAGAGAAGAAGAGAGGATCTAGGGAAGGATGATCAATGAGTATTATATGCATATAAGAATATACCACAACATAACTCATTGTTCCCTATAACTGATACATACTGAGAAAAAAGTACCTGGTTGAAACAACTAACTACTCTCCTAAATGTTCTATAAAATATATAACCAGGAAATTACAATTGACAAATCATCAAGGATTAAGGAGATTATTATCATTTAATCCAACATCACCTTTTATTTTTCAAAAATGATTAATTTCATAGTTAGCTAGATTAAATATGGGAAAATGAGCCTTCTTTGTGAAACTATATATGGTCTTTTTTTTGGTACCACAATCACCTTGCAAGAGAATTTCATTCAATGTATTCTGGATGCTCCTGTGTAACTACTAAAAGAAACAACTTTAGAAAATAAATGTGAATATAAAAATATTTACTCTGCCTCAGAAAACAGTCTAACATCTTATTCTGACAAAACAAGAAGGTAAAATTTGGATAGAGCAGCAAAATATAAACACAAAGCTCTTGAGTCCTCTGAGATCTTTTGCTTGGATGGAGTAGGCCTCCAGAGCAGACAGCTCCCTGAACACTTACAAAAAATCCTTCCAACTGGAATGGCTCTTAGGTATCAGGCAAAGACTGTAGGGTAGGTGTAGCTTTCAAGAATATCAGTGGTTCTTGTTATAATTCAGAGAAATCCAAAGAACAGCATTACAGGTTCTCAACATTTTTATGACCTTATTTCTTGTAGTAGTTTTATATTCACAGCAAAAATAACGATACAAATACTTTCATATATTCCTTGACTGTACAATCTTCAAAATTCTCAATCTCTCTCTCTCTCTCTCTCTCTCTCTCTCTCTCTCTCTCTCTCTCTCTCTCCTCTCTCAGGATTACAGAGTGAATATCTTTCTTCGCCAGAAATGGAATGATCCTCGCCTTGCGTATAGTGAATACCCTGATGATTCTTTAGACCTTGACCCATCCATGTTGGACTCCATTTGGAAACCTGATTTGTTCTTTGCCAATGAAAAGGGTGCCAATTTTCATGAAGTTACTACAGACAACAAACTGCTAAGAATTTTCAAAAATGGGAATGTTCTTTACTCAATAAGGTAACTCACATTTAAAAATCTTAATTTCAGTGAAACAGTATTGTGAGGCTGTTTGTTGCTGTTTTATTTTGTTGGGTTTTTTTCTGATGTTTTGAAAATTTTTTAGTACCATGTAATTGTTTTACCTGAACTCTTTTAATAAACCATTTTCTAAATATGTCTGATCAATAGTAACAATCTTAATTCCAAGATCGAGGAAGTATATGAGTATTTCTTGGAAATAGTTTTTAAATAAGTGATCCTGGCATGAGTTAGGTTGGAAAAGGCCTTAAAGGAAAATTAAAAGGCAACTGAGTCATACACCAGGACACATTTTTTGTATATTTATGTATATTATTCTTTTTATGCATTTGTAGGTGGAGAAATGTTCAGGTTGACTTGTCTGAGTTTCATTTTACATAAATTATTTTCCAGGTATGAGCATTATTTGAGGTATTCTGGAGCGTCTGTCATCAGCCTTTGATATTTTACCATATGATCCAATTTTCGGCCTTTCTAACATGCTGAAAAGTGACATTTTGATAAATTTTAAAAAGGCAAAAGATTTATACGATCTGAAGAGAAACCAGAGTATTGATAAATTTTAAAGCAGAAAAGAATTTTTAAAAATTACTGTAGTATGTATCATAAACTAATTAGATAGTAAAAGTGGATCATAATATGTTTATCACAATTTCTGCAAAAGATTTTGTATAACTGCAGTTATTCATTACAAATTTTTCAGAAGATCATGCTGTTTTTAGAAAGGTATATAGTAATATAGCAAAAATTAATGTCAAAATATAAGTACTAATGATAAAATTTCTGACAATTGCACTTTAGAACTTACTCAGCTCTGGCAATTCACTGCCAAATAGAAGGCTGACTTGCCTGCACAGTTATAGGAATTATTTTAGGTATCCTGAAGCTTCTACATTATACTTGAGAGTTGAAGTAAAAAATTAAAACACTAATATAGAGGAAATGAAAGTAACAAATAATAAAATATTTTCATAAATAAATCAACAAGAATCAACAAGAATAGCTAATATTTAGTGTTGTATAATTGACATTTTGTTGACATTTACCAGTAGTAAGTGGAAAGATGATTTGTTAAGACACCTCAAAATGTATTTGTCCATCAAGTCATCAGTTCTATTTTTAGGAATAAAAATTTTATATGTATCCATATTAAATACATTTATAATGACATTCCTGCATCAATAAAATAACAATCACAAAAATCCAGTGTTTATGTTCTTTATTGGAACACGATTGATACTGATATTCACATACCTTACTCTGCATGAATTAGATCTAAATGTATTCATAAGTAACAGCCTATAAACAGCCTATTAAATACGTTGAACACCAGATATATCTGAGATCTGTGAGATATATGCTGGTTTATAAGAAATATGTAATGGTTTGTATTTAAACATTTCTATATATGTTAGCCTAACTGTACATAAAAATTCACGTGCAGTCATGCACTGCATAATGACATTTTCATCAATGATAGACCACATTTACAATAATGATCTCATAAAATAATCAAAGCAAATGTTTCTTGCCTAGTGACATGGTAGTTATGATAAGACCATAGAAAAAGACGCTACTCGTGTAGTTGTGGAAATGGTGTAAATAAAACCTACTGCACTAACAAGTATATAAAAGCATAGCACATAGAATTATGTGTAGCAGCTGTGTAGTAGATCACATTATCTAGGTGTATGTGAGTGCACTCTTGAGTGTGTGTGTGTGTGTGTGTGTGTGTGTGTGTGTGGTATAGATGTGTGTTGGATAGTGGGTGTTTGCTTATACGCATTTTTGGTGTTGAAATATGTCAATGTAAAACTACCACTAGGTAATGCAGTTTCTCTTGCATTTTAATACTTGCAGTATTGAATTAACCCTATTCCAGAACCTTAGAGTGTCTTCCAGACAACTTTTTAATTTAATAAACAAATTTCCATGTAAAAAAAAACTACCACTAATATTTTAATTTTTTCTCATTGTTATATATAATAGAATACAAAAGCTAAAGGACTTTTTATGTGGAGCTTCAAGTTAATATTTCTTCAAAGCTCAAAGCAGTTGACTCAGGCCTCCCTAAAGATTTGTCAAGTAAAATGAGTCTTTTAATTAAGGAAGTTGTACAATATCAAGATCGCCACTGTACTGAAGTGAATTGCTCCCATGCAATTGTTCTAATTGCATATGCATTATATTGATGATTACTAAAATGTATTTTGATGCTGAAAGGTTAAATTCATTTCACCATGATTAGTGAAATCTTGTTACTGAGTTCTTTGGAAATGTTCAAGTATTTTCTGCTTTGAAATAGGAATAAAATTCAATTTATGCCTTTTATAAGTGATGTCATCCATTATGAATAGCTCATTTTTCTTCTAATATTTTTTGGGAAGCTACAGAATAATTTAAAAATACATCTTTGTTTTTTAGTATAAATTCAGATAAAACAGATGGTCTCTCAACTCCTAAACTTTGCTATATCCTGGCTCACTTGATCAAAGAAAAAATTCATTTTTGTAAGTTGTTTTTGGAAATCTCACAGGGCTTTGAAATTTCCAAATGCATCAAATCTTCAGTTTTTTGTTAACAAAAAGTGTGTTTGAAAAAAGTCTTGTTCAGTCTACAAATGGAGCATCTGTGCTGTTTCATGTGAGCTCTGGCTTTCTTGCTTGTTTATAAAGAAAGAAGCAGAATGTCCTAGCAAGTGTGACCGGTTGAACTTAAGAGTTCAACTGTATTTCCTCTTTAATCCCATTAAAACAATGAAATGAACTGAATAAGGGATAAAAATGGTATTAATACAGGGGAAGACGAATATCATGGAAAAGAAATTGACAACAGACAGACAAGTTTAGGAAGCTTGGAAATGAATTTGTTTTTGAAAGCTGACCTAACACGTATATCAGAAACCCAAGCAAAAGTTGCCTAACCCCAGAGGTAAAAAAAAAAAAGAATAATAATAATGACTCCAAACTTTCAGATATTTCAGGCAGCTAAGACTTTTGAAAGTGAGAACTAGGGAAAATCTTTAAGGAGAAAGAAAATAATTGATTTAAATTTTATAAGAACAGTGAACCTTAGTTCCAGATCTCCTTGCCCAAGCCCTTCAAGTGAACAGCTGCCTTTCTGCCTTCTGACTGGGGCAGAAAACGTTAAAAGGTTCCTCCAAGAACTTCAGGAGCCAGGACTCTAGGCACAATTGGTGCCTGTCATGGGACATTAGAGGAAGAAAATGAAGATGACAGGAAGGCTCGACCCCGAATGGTAACAGAGCTCAATAACTTGAAAGTGAGGAAATTCAACACTTCTCTTGAGCAGCAGACAGAACACTATCTCTGGAGAAAGAATCTAACTTCCCCAAGAAGCAAGATGCTGACAACCGAGGAAGATTTATTATCATTTCATCCTGTAGTTAAGGCCATTATTCAATAAATATCCACGGCAAAGTGAGATCCAAACAGTGTTTAATGCCTCATTCTTATAAACTGACATTTGAAGAAACTCTATCATTCTTGTAAAGCAAAGTTCAGAACAACAATCAAAAAGAAAAAAAAATTGTAAAAGCAATAAAACATGACTCAAGAAAATATAGGACTCAGAGAAAAAAGCTATTAAAACACCTCTGTACTGTTGAGACAGTTGAATTGCATGCACAAAATACAGTACTTTTAGGAAAAACTAGATACTTTCATGGTACTGTACAGTAAGAACAAATAGTGATTTAAAAACTGCAGAATTTTAGCAAGATAAAGTGAATAAATCACCCAGAAAGTATAATGCAGCTCTTTAAATCAGCCTTCTCTTCGTTCATGTGCACAATATGGTCTCATCATAGAAATTTGCACCTGAATAAACCACCTGAAGAAATGCCTCAGGAAAGAAGGGAGGGAAGGCAAGGGGAAAAGGAATGAAAAATAGATGGGCTTTGTACAAGTATCAACTTTCCAGGACAAATGTAATTGTTATGCACTCCAAACTCATTGGAAAATGGCTCAGGTAGAACTACTATATGGGCTTTGCAGGATACCTAGCAAGAGACCGAGAAGGACATGAAGCTCATATGAGCCTGTATCTCTCATCCCAGAGCAGGCTCTGCTAGCTACCGCTGTGACCTGGGAAGCCTACTTCTGAAAGGCTGATTTTTCCAATATGTATAATTGACAGCTCTAATTGCCTTACACCTGATACAGTGAATGCATAACACTTGACACTGTGCCCGGCATGCAGAACACCCTATGCTAATATTTCTGTTTTTCCAAAAAAGAAAACAAAACCATATACATTCTAGTGGTTTCCATAAATCAGCACTACATGGACTCTTCCAAGTCTCTACTTGCACCTCATATTTCAGAAGCCTCACTTCTAAAATGGAGATGAAAATAAAATCATCATACATCTCAGAAGTACATTATAGGCAGCTGCATATTATACATTCCTTACTCAACTGATGTTACTAATACAACTTCTAACACAGAAGCTTTATTGCTTTAACTGTGTTAAAGATACTGTGTATAGTGACTTGTCAAAGATTGTGGTATAATTCTAATTTTATTTAATATAAATATAATCTTTTTGAAATTTGAATTTACAAAACTTAAAGTTTATTTGTGCAATGTACTTCAATTTTTGAACATTGATGGACATTAATATTTAACACAGAAAATCAAATCATTTCACAAGACAATTTTCAAAAATTCTGTTCAGTGGCTGGCCAAATAGCTTAGCAGATTAAAGCACTTGTTTAGGCAGAACAGAGACTGGGAGTTTGATCCCCAGGCCTGCCATGCCAGCCCCACCCCCAGGGTGCCCCGGATGACAACTGAGACTGGACGTGGAGTCTGAGCCTCTAATCCCAGCACTTGGGAGGCTGTAAACAGAAGAATCAATATGAGTCCAGTCTATACGGTGAGACCCTGAACACCCTGTACAACCTTATCTAAATAAAAAAAATATTCTGTTCAGTTAATGGAACTCTATTTGCATTGTTATAAATAGTTGTTATAAGGCAAATGTGGCAGGTAAGTCATGGTAGGCTTTAAGAAGGGCCATAACTCACTCATTTTAGCTTCCTAAGGAAATTCAGGATTGCTTCAGCAATATGTTTGGGTTGATAATATTTATATTTGTCTCCAAACTCATGTGACAACAAACCTCAAGAATGAGTCCATAGAGATCAATTGTAATCTCCCTTCTAGTTCTCTAATAATCTATTTTCTGAAAGGTATTTATTAACTATAAAATAATCCACAATAAATACCAAATGACTCAAATATATAAAACCATAGGGCAAATTTTATATTTCCTGTATTTTAATTAAATTTCTCAAAATCTTTTTAGAAATTTTTGCATATGATTTCATTCAAATTTAATAACTAATGCTAGATACATTATTCTATTCCTTGTACTATGGAAAGACACACAAATACAAAATTTAAAATGTCATTAATTGCAGAAAATGTTTTTCTGAAAAATATTCCAATGTTTTGAGAGGTGCTATATTTAAAGATTAAGAACACACAGCCTAGAAATCTACCCCCTGGTTTGCAAATTCTTCTCTACTAATTTCTTCTCTAAAACAGGAGGGGCTTATTTAACTTTTAACATTTTTCTTCTATAAAATAAGGTAATATTGTTTATCTGTCCTGTAACTTTATAATACAGAATAAATGAGTTATCATCACATATAAAGTATTTTAAATAGAGCTATTATCACCAAGTAAGCACCGTAAAGTGTTACTATGATAATACAGAAATATGTCAAATTTGATTAGATACTGGTTAACATACCCTTTTCTTTATGATACCATATTTAGAAACACTGAAAATGTTCTCATTTAGAATGATGACTTTTTATTTCTTGAAGTCTACAACGAAGTTGGCTCATATTTTTTAAATTCAGTTATTGTTTGAGATACACATCAGAACATGAGCAATGCTTTTTTGATGCAATAATGAAATTTTAATTATGTCAACTGTCACTCTAGATGATACTCAGCTTTTTAAACATCACTACTTCATTCATCCAAGACTTCTCAGGGGAAAATAAGCGCCACGTCCTGCTTATGTGTCTTATCTCAGAAGAACTTAGTGTCCTTCTTTCACAAGAAAACATGCGCTTCCAGAACAGTAGGGTATGAGTAATTGTCTCTTGATTTAGATTTTGATGTAGTCAAAGCACATCTTTAATTATATACAATGTTTTATGAAGAAATTAATTATCATGCTCACAAAGTTGACATGTATTTCAACTCATATTCTATTAAAGAAGCAATTGTATGATGTCTTCAAAAAAGAAAAGTCAATAAATAAGAGTATTTTTCCAGATACAATTTATGACAAGAGTCTACAGACCTTGTTATTCTTTGTCAAATAATTCCTTTCAAGTGCTATTTTTTTAAGAATTACATAATGGTTCTCATTTTATGCCAGAAACTTAGCCAGGGTATGAATTTGACATCACATGCATGGTGAGAATGTGGAAAAGATTCTGAGAATTCTATTTGCTTTCATACAAAAGGTCAGAGGAGCCAGTGTTTAAAACTGACTGGCTGAAAGCCTTGACTATTTGGAAAACTGTGAGAACATTTCATAATACCTGTGTACATATTCCTCTAATAAATCCTTTGTGAGGCAGAGAACATAGTGTCCACCTAATCTTACTGTTACTTTTTTAATAGAACTTTGTAAATAGACACAGTTGCTGAAAAGGATGACTTAACCTGGGTGAGCCAGGCAGAAAACAGAATTTAAACATGGAACTCTATGAAATATTTGTGTCACAGACTCTGACTCAAATGAGTTACCAAATGATCCTCCAAGGACTCCTTAAAATTCAACAGCTCTTTATATCTGCCTGTTTATGTCTCTCTAACTATGTCAATGAGACCTAAGTCACCAAGATAGTTACTGTAGAATGCACACCACTATAACTTTATGTCTATGCTTAACATAAAAATGCCATTTTGAAGAATGCAGTTATATTTAGTAGAAGTGGTGGTTATTTTTTCTTAAAGCTTAAAAGGCTCTTAGTTATGATGTAATTCATTCTTCTTTTGCCAAAACTTTAGAATTTGGGAGAAAGGAAATGGAGTCAGTCTAGGAGCTTCTGAATACACTACTAATCATTAGTAACTAATATTGATTAAGTGTTTCCAGTGTGTCAAGCGTTTATCTAACATATATCAGTGCATGCATTACTTCTAGCAACTCTGCAGGGAGTACCGTTATTAACGTAATTTTACAGATAGGGATTACCATGCCTGAGATCACAAACTTTAGGAAAACTAATCTGTCCAGGGTACTTACTAATACACTGAATTAAGTGTGAGTGCTTTCAATGAAAGTATTAAAGGCTTCTCAGAAAAGAAATTCAGTTAGAGAATGTTGGATCTAGTGTCTCTCCCTCTCTTTCTCCCCCTCTCGCTCTGCTTCTCCCTCTGCCTCTCTCTCTCTCTCTCTCTCTCTCTCTCTCTCTCTCTCTCATTTTGCCTCTTTTCTCCACTCTACTCAACACATTTTAGTAAAACACTTCATACACATTTCTAAGTATCTCTAGTGCCGGAGCTTCTGCCTCCGAGTCTGGACCTGAGAAGCGCACGTCCCGATGCCCACCCCATGTACACTCTCGGTTCCTTTGGTTTTAAGTCCAAGACAGCCATTCTCAAGGATCAGCTGATTGTGAATCTCCTTAAGGAGGAACAAGTGCCAAAGAATAAAATCACAGTTGTTGGTGCTTTGGCATGGCCTGTGTCACCAGTATCTTAATGAAGGACTTGGCAGATGAACTTGTTCTTGTTGACGTCATGGAAGACAAGTTAAAGGCAGAGATGGTGGATCTGCAACACAGCAACCTGCATCTTAGAATATCAAAAGTTGTATCTGGCAAAGATTATAATATAACCACAAAATCTAAGCTGGTTATTACAACCCCTGGGGCACAACAGTAAAGAGGGAGAGAGCCATCTTAATTTGGTGCAGCATAACGTGAACATCTTCAAGTTCATCATTCTTAATGTTATAAAGTACAGTCCCAACTACAAGTTGCTTGTTGAGTCCACCCCAGTGGACATCTTGGCCTAATGGTTTGGAAGATAAGCGGCTTTCCCAAGAACTGTATTTTGGAAGTAGTTGCAACCTGGATTCAGCCTGCTTCCACTACCTGATAGAGGAGGCTAGGCGTGCACCCACTGAGCTGCCATGGCTGGATCCTCAGGGAAGTGGAGATTCTGGTGCCCCTGTGTGGAATGGTGTGAATGTGGCTGGCATTGCCATGAAGAAGCTCCATCCTGAGTTAGGATCTGATGGGAACAAGCAGCATTGGAAAGAGGTTCACAAGCTGGACTGTTGGTGCCAGATTTGGTAGAAAATATAATGAAGAACTTTAGTAGGGTGCATACAATTTCTACCATGATTAAGGGGCTGTATGTAATAAAGAATGATGTCTTCCTTAGTATCCCTTGTGCCCTGGGACAAAATGGGATCTCCGCTGTAATAAAGATAACTCTGACACTTGAGGAAGAGGGGCATTTAAAGAAGAGCGCAGATACCCTGCAGTCAATCCAGAGAGGGCTGCAGTTTTAAAGTTTTCCAGTGTTACTATGTCACTGTCTAGGCTACAGAAGTGTTTAGTTGGAGGTTGTGCCAGCTCTCCTGTTCATCTGATGTGTGGTTGAGGCTGTACTATTAAGATGGCCTGGGGAAAGCATCAGTTTCCCAAAGTTAGAAGTAGAAACGGCTCATAGACCCCTCACAGCTGTCCTGATGGTGGATGATGCTGCACTTGTAATCCTGGCTAATATGAAGTAGCCCAGCATCTCTCAAACACCACAGCCAATGCCACACAGGCTCCAGTTGCCCTTCAGAGAGATGTATGTTATTCTGTTACACAGCTTCTCCGCCAAGCCTTGTCTGACCTTTCCTCAGTTGGTCCACAGTGTACAAATCCAATATTGCATATGAGCAAATTCAGAGGTGTGTTTGATTAGTATGCAATTATATCACGGACACTAGAGGGTTTATTTCCATACCCTGATGAGACCTAGTGAAATTCCTGCCCTTATAGCAGAGAACTGGGCTCTGTTGACTAAATTTTCAGGTTCTCCATGTTCGCTCCAGTAAACACTGCTGGGTATTCACTAACAACCTCTTCAGTCATTTAGAAAAATGACTGAAAGTCGTCATATAGGATTGCTTCTCTGCACCCTGCTGTCCTATATTTAGAAATCTAATTCCTCTTCCACACCTTCCTCTTAAACATTCTGTTTATGTGACTTAGAAGAAAATGCATCTCTTCATATTTGTTGTTAATTTTATAGAAACTACCCTAAAAGTCTTTTTCACTTTTCTTAAACTGAACTCTTCTTTGACTTCCACAGTCCCATCTAATGAAACTTAAAATTAAATTAAGTAATCAGACGTATAAATAAACAGTGGTCTCTATCTACCCCTCCCAAAAATACCCCTAAATATATGTATAATGGTGTAGTTATTTAATCGTATCTTTTTCTTTGCTTTGCTTTTTTTTTTTTTTTTGGTACAGGGAATTGAACTCAGGACCTTGTACTTTCTAGCCAGTCACTTGTGCCACTGAGCTATCTCCTTGGTCCCTGCTTAATCATATATACATCAAAGAAAAATTTCATCTGAATAGATTTTAGTTACTACCAAAGAAACATTGTTTTCTTTAAATATTGAGCATTAATATGATGTTATAAATTTTCTTTATAAAGTATTTATTCTGAATTCTTTCAGATTAACGCTAACACTTTCCTGCCCAATGGATCTTAAGAATTTTCCAATGGATGTACAAACTTGTATAATGCAATTAGAAAGTTGTAAGTATGCACTTACTTTTTCTAAATTCTTTAAGGTATAATAAATAAAAGAATTTATGACTTTATTTTACATTTTTGGCTCACATTTATTAAATAGGCATGTACTCTTTTAATGAGTTCTTAAGGTAGTGATATCAACACATGTACTGTAAAAATGTTGAGAAACTAGAAATAATAGTTTTTAAATGTGAAATGAAATATATTTCTCTATGCACATCATCAAGACTTAAAGGACAGTGATAATTTATGAAAACTACCATTTATTTCTTGAGTCCCTGCTCTAGGTCAAGCAACTGTATACTAGGCAATAAAAATATATAGTGAATGCTTAAATTTTAAGGAATACTACAGTAAAAGATACATAGCTTTTCAGTCCTCTAAAAATTCTCCCCGTAGCGTCCAACGCTCCCTACCGCTCGCCATTATGGAGCTCTTCTGGAAATCCTCCCTTGTGTCTTTGCAATGGGTGATCAGAAACCCCGTGACTGCTGCTGCTGAGCGACGCCCCGGGCACAGACAAGGGCGTCACAGCCCCCGGAGCCTTCGCCCCCTGTTCATTGGCTCTGACACAGCGCAGCGTCCGGCTCTTCCCCCAAGTCACAACAGCCTGGCCTTTATGTCTACTTTCTTACATTCATAGTGAGGTGTGAGAATGGCCAAGCAGAATGGCTTGATGTGGTCCAAGCCATAGAGCTGATGATGAGATATCCTCCGACTCCTGGTATGATTCTGCCACTCGCTAATTTTTATGATTTTCACTATCACTCTGCTGAGGACACTATGTCATCCCGAACACACATCTTTCACACTTCCTAAGAGAGCTACCCAGTCCTTCCAGCGCTCCTCTACATGCCTTAGAGAATAAATCCATACATATCACTGATTTTTTTTCTTGCAAATGAAACTTTCAGATGCATTAATTTCTCCAAAACATAAACATAAAATCAACCCTGAACTAATGAGTTGTTGTTTAATTCCATGAAAATGCGGCAGATATAAAATAGGTCTTTCTGGAGCACTGTATAAGAAATATTTAAAAATCTGTTCAACATCTTTGTGAGTAAATCTGAAGAGGTGGTCACCAGGGCTGAGACAACTCTGCAGTGCGGGGAGCTGTCGCTAGATGGCGGGCCTGCCTCGTGGGGGAGCAGGACCCGCTCCACCATCCCCATCCGCTAGGGTTTTCCTGAAGGACTAGAAACAGCTATTTCTCTGACATAATCCCAGCTTGTAAAATGCAGAGGCTTCGTCTTTATAGGTATCTCTTAAATATTCAATAGAGACATGAATAAAGTAGTTAAGTAAATGAGAGGAAAGTAAAACTGGAAGAGCTATGTAACAATAAAGGGGGAAAGAAAGGAAAGATCCCCACCAGTACAGAGTTTGTACCATGAAGAAAGGCAGTTTGAGGATAGGGTGGTTGGGTATTTTGGCAGCAATACTAGTCTGTAGAGAAAATCAAAACCAAAACGAAAAGCACCCAAAGTAGTCTACTGGTGTGTGCTAATTACGGAGCCAGTCAGCTGAGCGCCATTCAGGAGGCCAAGATGAACTGTTCAAGAGATAAGGCACGTCAGAATTGGTCATTGCTGTGGCTCTTGATTAACAATAAATTATGGTTATTCAAGAAGCTTTTGTAATACTCTAGAAAAAAGAATAGAAGCAGAGACAAAGCGGAATAATATGGAAAGTAGAAATTACAAAAAGGTTAATATAAATGGATTCTAAAGGCACTCACAGACTGAACGGCTGTTACCTTATGGGAATGTTGACAACCATTAATTGTGTCATAAACCTCAAAGGAAGATTCAGGAAATTCCTGTGAAATTATGAAGCCTTGTTTTTCACTAAATGTTTTACATTTGAACCCCAATTTTGGTGTATAGCTGTTGCTTGGGATAAATGATAATGAGAGAATGACATTTGTAATTAACAGTAAACCATTACACAATTACTAAAGTTTCTATTCAAGATGGCTATATCAGTTTACTGAACTTCAGATTCTGCTGCATGATGCTTTTTAACTTTATGAAATAGAATATAAGGTTTATTCCAAAAGACAAACTTGCATTACTTCCCAGGTTTTATTTGTAGATGCATTCATAAATCATGTACGTTGACAAAGAAGAAATAACTATGATATAAGTGAACAAAACACACCTACATTGCCACCTACATGATGCCCCCAGAGGAATTTACAAACCTATACACAGCAAGAGAGATGAGAAAAAAATTCAGTATTCAATTTTCAGCTTTACTTTTACAGCTTAAAGAATATTTCTAAATTAACAATTTTTTCTTCATTGCAGTAGACATGTGGACTTTCTTAAGCTGGAACATTTTTTGTTAGATAATCTTCTACAGGCATAAGATTGAGTCAAATGTAACACGGGACACATAAATTATGATCACTCCATAAAGGATATACTTCTGTAGTTCACATCAAAAGACGATAGATAATAGATAGATGCATAATAAAATGAAAATATCACCAATATGTAAAATTTAGAGAAAGTTTGATTATTTTAGATTTAAAAGAAAAACTTCAACTCAGTAAATAAATACTATTACACTATCTTCCATAACCCATGTCTTAAATCCCTAAAATTATCCCCCAAATGTGGGCTGAAAGACTTTATAGGATAATCTTTCAAAAAATACCAATAAGGAGGGCCTGGGAGATAGCTCAGTAGAATAAGCACTTGCCTGGCAAGAGCAAGGGCCTGATTTTAATCCCCAGTTACACACACACACACACACACACACACACACACACACACAAAATAACAATAAGTCTTTTAAAAAAATTTGAAATATAGTTTCATGAATTTGCATAGAAATAGTTAAAGACAGAAGATATTTTTGTGGGGCTTTTGGAAAATAAATAGTAAAGGTAATGGAAAATTTTTATTATTTACTTTTCCAACTGTGTTTCAAAATCAGGCTTGACATTACACAGAGCAGATACTCTGAAATTTATGCTAAGCCTAACTAAGGCAAAAGACAGGCTTGGTGATGAGTTTTCACACTTATTTCCTAATATTCTCTTCTGTTATCCAAACTCTTTCATAACTTAAATGTTTTGGTATTGTTCAAAATAATGCTGTGCTTTTCGTTGCTTCGCCTGAGATACAGATGGTTATCATTTTCTAAGTATTTGTTACTTAAATCCCTGTCACTGCAGTTTCGGTAGGAAAAAAGCAGTTGTCATCACAAAACTATTCTCTGCTGAATTAGGTACTTATAAATTCACGTAAAATATGTGAATATTTCATCCTACATAAAACCAATGCTCACTATGTTCTAATCTGTCTGCATCTTTGTAGGTTTATTTTTTCTAATTATCAGATATTTTAACTGTATGACAATATAATAAATATATGATAGAGTTGCCAATTGTATAAAGGATACCCCAATAGATTTATATTTATTAGCCATATTACTTGATTTAGTCCTACCCACAATGTAATGGAATAGGTTTTGTTTCTATTCCCAATCACCAAATAAGGCTTAGAGATTAAACATTTCCAAGATTGCGCAGCTCTAAAGTGGACAGAGGGAGTTGTGATTTAATAGCGTGCAAACTTATTGCACAAGCGTCAGTCATCGTTAAACTTATCTGACAAATTCTAAAATTATATATATAGTAACTCTGGTATTTTAAAATTAGTCTACAAGTTAAGCATGTCCAGCACTTTGAACTGCTTTCTCTTATGGGAAGACTAGAGTTACTTTCTTGCCTGTTTCCCAACCCTTTATGTATATTAAAATTGGCCCAAACTAAGATCAGTAAGCGAGGCCTGTCCGCTCTTAGTGGCAGTACCTATCATCCTGTAGCTATTGTGGTCAGAGTTTATAGGCAGTTGGAAAATATTCATTACCCAGGCTACATATAGTCAGGTCAGTGCTTCATCCAAGTTCTGTGCCCCCTGCCATAGTTGCCCAATTGGTTCCCTTGAATAAAATATTTTAATTTTATTGTATTATTTATTTATTTTAATTCAAGTACTTCATTTCTTTCCCAAGTACTATATCATCCTGATAGTTTTATTCCATAATTCTACTTTGATGATGCATCTTCCTCCTGATTACTCACCCAGGGAGTTGGACGGCATACAGCTACTCATTCCCCAAAGGGCAGCCTTTAGGAGACTCAGCCATAAAGCACTACAGATATTCTTGTTTTATAATACTGAAAAAAAAAACCCAGTTGCTGTATCTCTCATGTGCAGGTCATCACTGACACAGTCATCAGTGATTGTTGATCATCCATCATCTTGAAATCTTCCTCTTAAGTAGAGCAGTAGAACTAATCAAGTACTTGCTGAAAGCACTACTTGTGCTGGTATTTCCTATTCTGGCAGAGATGCTAACAAGATCATGACATATTATTACGCTGGTGTATGGCACATGGCATGACTTTTCCTTTGTGATCCTAGTGGGGTCACTGCCTCCTCCTGCTTTACTTGCTCACAGATCAAATTTATTCTAGAACTGTGTGTGTTTATTGCTTAGCATTGTTTCTAACTCACTAAATCTACCTGTTAGTGATTGAATGTATTCTCAGGTAATCCTTTAATAACTTTGCAGTTCTTTATCACCCAGCTAAGATTCTGTATTGCTTTACCAGTCTAATATGCAAAATATCTTCATGTCCTATAATTTTATTTTTCTTCAGAGAGACAATGGAGATTGAGAGTTAATATTTTTCTTCTTGTCTCCAGTGTTGCTATTATTTTCTTTTACTTCTAGAATCCATGGACCTTTTCTTGTTTGCATCTTCAATTTTAATGTGAGTAAAATGAAAGGCAGAGCCTCAATGCATTAAGAAAATATTTCTTAATTGTTTTGGATGCTCTATTTGGCTTATTTAGCAGCAAATAATGTTTGTCTATCTCAACAGTACACTTTGTTATCACTAATAAGGCCAGTGTAATCCTAAAGAGAGACAAAGTTATGCTCTTCTCTCTGCCTAAAATGAGCCTCCTACAGATCTATGT